TGATATTTGACTTATGTCAAATGTTACCTTTTGGACCTGGTAAACGTGGAACTATGTTTTTTTGCACGAGTTCGAATAATTCTTTGCTTCGAAGGATGTTTTCTCCACCTCGTTCCATATTTTCCAAATAAATACGGCACCCGTGTTGTGTGTTGCGTTGGAACATATTCTTCGCTGTCTTTATCCTCCGAAAAGTCCCGTTCAGAATCTGTATCGTATTCTAGTACTTCTACTTGTTCAGCTGGTAGACTTCAGTCGGCATCATCTGGCTTGGGTTCAGAACCCGTAGAAACTTCATCAAAAAGCCGTTGTAGCCTTGCCTGCTCTGCTTCATATTCCATTTTCACAAAGCAGTATCTAAATATATCGTTTATAACTAAAATACAACTAAAAATTAAAAAAAAAAATAGTCACCGTCAAAGATAGCGTAAACGGTAAGGTCGGTATCTCACGTAACTGCCGAATTTTTGTCACTAAACAGAGACTTCTGGCGTTTGAAGGTACTAGGAGTAGCTAGGTTAGACCACCCATTTCAATTTTATCGCGAAAGTTCAAACTTGTGGGTCTCAGAGACCGCACGTTATTAAGAAAGAAGTTAAAATATGATTGTACAAACAAAAAATTACAATTTCGGTGGATTATATAATGTGATTTTAAATTATTTCGTCTGGAATAAGATATTGTTTGTCTATTTTCAGCAGTTTCTCAACAGGTTAGTACCACAGTTAGCCTATGCTGTTGGTATGTTCCAATACAAAATTATTTGAACAGGACCTTTCTCCACTGCTTCCAGTCTTTGGTGGCCCCTCCTGGATAGCATTTAATATACTGCTTACTTCTTTCCACAATGTCGTGCTTATAGTATTGGTATAAGTTCCGATTAATTTGCCCTTATACATGTTGGGTCGTGCGTACACAAAATTAACTAACACTTCTTTTTATTTGCGTCTCGACTGTCTTGTTTTAAGTAAAGGCAAATCCATTTTTCAATCTCCACAAATTTAAATTAAATTGTCAAAATCAAAATAACACTAAATGGGTTCACTCCTGAAGTTCCCATTTTTTCTAAAAATGTGTATTTAATTTTCAAATCCAGTTCTAAAGATTTCCTTCTCAATTCAAATTCTACTAAATCTCTTTCTTTTTTAATTTCCTGTTCAGGTTTAAGTCAATCCAATTCTACTTGTACCAATTCAATTTTCAGTTCGGCAAGCTTATTGTATTTTTTCGATAACTCTGAAGAAGCTAAAGTAGAAATAACAGGTCTATTCCTACTAGTCCAATGTGATGTCGAAAATAAACTATTATCATCAGTATCTGTACCTTTTTTTTTGCTTTTGGTAATAGTTTTGGATGTAAAAGTTACTTAAAATTTTCTAGTTTATAGTTACCCCAGTCCGTTTTATTATTTTTAGTATTACCCTCATCATCCTGAAGTAAAATTAGTTTTACTCATATAAACAATAACGATTATTTTTAAATATGAAGCACGTATGTATCGGACATGCAATGTGGTGAAAATTTAAATGCCTTGCAAAATCTGCTTTGGTTAGATTATGTACAATTTTGGTTCACATGATTTATAATAACGCCATCAGGACAGTGGCGTACACAGCTTTTTTGTAAGGGGGGGGTTACACTGCAGTAAGATTTTGCTAGATTTTTTTTAATGTTTTAAAAATGAAAAAATAAATACGAAATTGAAACAGTAAATTTTTAATTTTATACAACTTTAAAAAAATACACATTGTAATAATATTAGAGATATTAATTTTCCTTGACTGTTTTGAAAAGTCATCTAGAACTTCTTCTGGAGCAACCGGAATATCACGATGGATGTTCAGGAGCGCCAAGCCGTTAAGCCTTTCTTCCCCAGTGGTATTCCTAAGATACGTTTTTAATCTGCGAAGCGTTGAAAATGATCTTTCATGTGTTGCTGTTGTCACAGGAAATGTACAAAATATTTTTATCAATTTGCTCACTGAAGGAAAAATATTTTCGTTACATTGGCGTAAAAAGTCTATAGCACATTTAGGATAAGCGTTTTCATCGACACCATTGAGAAACCGACACCACCACATTTTTAGTTCGCCAATTCCTTCTTCTACGCCACAATTTAAAATGGACTGATATGTTGTTAGCAATAACTTTGTGTCTTTTTCATGACTGTTGTCAAATTTTGTACCTCTTTCGGGAAAAAGGCACCTAAAGCTCGCAAGAATATTTTTATGTTTTAAAAGACGTTCTTGAATTTGAGTTAAAATATTTTCCAAGAAAGGAATGAATATGGATATTCTGTAATAATCCACAGCTTTCTCTGTCATGATATTACATCTTTTTGTTTGCCTAGCACTTCGACGAGGAATGGTTAACTCGATAGCTAGTTTTTCACAAAGCTCAGTCACTTGTTCAAAAATTTCATTAAAGTGCTTCTCAGCAGTAGTTCGCATTTCAGTTAAAACATTTTCGACATCTGTAGCTAGTTTAATGGCTACGGATAAATTTTGATTTTTTGTTTGCAGCTGACGGCTAAACGGCAAAGTTACAGCAAACATTTTAGCAATAACGTGAAGTGATATTTGAAATTCACCACTGTTTATAACAGCCAATAACTGAACTGCCGTAGATGATGTGGTTTTATCACTCCATAGAGATATAATTTCCAATGCATTTATAACGGCTTGCTGCAGTTCTAAAAACACGAGCACTGATTCATGGCGCTGAATCCACTTTGTCGGGCATAACTGTTTCAATCGCGTGGCAGACGTTTCAGATTCCAAATCGTCAATAGCAATTTCTGAAGCCATCGTATCTGGAATTTTAGGTTTCTAGGTCTACTGGCAGGAAATTTATAAAATTCGTCAGGAATCCAAATTTTTTGAAATTGCAAACATCTATTTTCTTCGGTGTCGGTGTCTTTTTTCATATCAATATAATAATCTATATCATTAACACTAACATCTGTATCTGTGTTAGAACTAGAGCTATAACTAGAGCTAGGAACAGGAATTATTAAACTTGCCTCATCGTGTTGAACAGAAACAATACTGGGAGTTTTTGTAGGTTGTTCCGGTTCACCTTCTGGCCTAGCCTTTTTAAAATAGTTTGTCAACACAGAATTTTTTAATTTTCTCTTGCCCTCACTCATTTTGACACCTAAAAGGCGTTAAAAAAATTAAAAAATATTAAAATACATAAATACGTCAAAACAGTACAAAAGAATTACCTGCTTTCAATCAGCTTTCAAACTATACATACACGTTTTAACTTTTTAATACCAACATTACATAAAAAAGTAAAAGAAAGTACCGCGAATGACGAGGCAACTTAATAAGTACGTTTAAAACGACGGTTTAATTAACATGGTGTGACGGCGCCGATTGTTTTGTGCGCGACGCGAATCCTTCAGTTAGCCTCGCAGCGGTCCGGTCCACCGGTATTGGCCGAGGCGCGTTTTCGCGGCACGAAACTAGAGCACAGGGAAGCAGACGAAACTAAAAAGCGACGTTGCAACGTTTAGTCCGATTCAAGTACGATATACAACAAAATATATACGGCAATAGGAAGTTTTAATAGGTATATAATTATTGTTAAAAGTTAAAGCTCATAGGGGGGGGGGTNCCCCCACCCCCCCCCCCCGTGTGTACGCCACTGCATGAGGAGAATAATTTAGCCATCGATTTGAATTTGATACTATCATACCAAAGTCCCTAATATCTAGTGCCAAGTTTTCGGAGACTACTTTTTTGCTTCCTTTTCATGCTTAATACCATGCATAGTAAATTTATTACAAAAATATTTGGGCCAAAAATATGTATAGCATTTTTTTCCCAGTATTTTTTTTGCATATGTGTATATTTCATATATTCGAGAATCTGTTACTCGATACTTCCTTCCTTCATTCCATAAAGGTGTATTCTGTATATTATATACATATCTACCTCTCCAGTACCAAAAATTTCATCATATGTGACTGCAGCAAACGTCATAAAAATTGATTGGTGTCGTGGACAACTCTAGCATCAAAACACTTTGGCAAGCATTATTTAACATAATATTGCTATAATTAGTAGTTTCGGTTACTCGCTCAACAGTTTCTATATTAATTCTTCTACCAGCACTGCAACAACAACAATGAATAAATAGAATCGTAATGCTACAAACATTTGTACATATGTTTTGCAAACGAGGAACTTGGAATTTGTTCAATAAACCGTTTCTCTGTGTCGATAGATTCACGGCACACTACTTTATTTGACAAACATGCCATATCCTGGATGGATACTGCCATATACCTACTTTTTCTTTGTATCATGTTTTTGTACAGCCCACATACATTTGATATCCGTCTGGGATACAGTTTCAATTTTCTCCACATCTTCTCTAAAACATAAGAAAGCAAGCAGAATAGGAAACACAAAATAAGACAATGATCAATGACCATTAAAAGTGCACCGGCACGATTACGCCTTTCCTAATTAAACTAAAATACACCTTATACACAAAATTAATACGACAGATATATGTTAGCATCTACCACTTCTTCCAGCCTTACAACTACAAACCATTGCAGAAATTTTCAAATTATTATTGTCGATAGACAATACTCCCTGAATTTCATGAGAGTTCTTAGTAAGGGCACTCGTTTGCAAACACAATGAATAAATTTCTAAATTTAAATCACTGCCCAATTTTCCACATAGTACCACATGACCAACGTTAAAAACTGCCTCCTTCTGATATACAACGAGAATTTTCGTAGGCATTTAAATAGGAAATGTATTCCACAAGGGATAACTTCATAGTTATAACCTAAAAAAATGTGTAAGTACATTAAATTGTAATGCTAGAAACAGTAGAAACAAACAAGGTAGACATAAATAATTGCCTTAAAATTTATTTATGAAATATTTGAAACCTATAAAATAACACAAAAGTCCAATAACAAAATTACGAATAATAATGGCAAATAAAATAGATGTTCAAATTAACAAGAACGCCAAAGTCAAACTTACCTTGTCTCGGAGTTTACCACTTTCGCCGCTTGGTGCGCTTGCATCTTAAAAATTATCGCGAATGACCATACCAGTAAATTCTATCCACTCTAGTTAGGGATGTTCTGTGATCAACTCTCACATATTTCGCAGTCGCACATCGCACGTTTTGTGGTTTCAAAATGGCGGTTTTGTAGTTGATCGTGGTTATATCATGTCCTTTCTGTTATTTGATTTTGTTTTATCATATAACTATTCAAAAATAAGTACCTGCCACCAGACCATCAAAAATTTTTACGTGTTATATAGGTGAGTTTGTTTATATTACCCGTGAATATAATTTAACATCTACTGGCATGTAATCTACATAGATGCCGGTAAAAAATTAAATCGATGAATTTGTTTGATTTTAGAATGAATGAAATCATTATGACATTAAGATGTCACATTAAGAATTCACGTGGATATGGATGAAAAGTCTGAACAAAATTGCTGAAACATTTAATAAAAACCAGGGTTTTTTATGTGTACTTACTAGAATTTGCTAATTTTATGGTGTCTGTTGCAAAGTTGGATCAATTGGATTGATATTGGTGAATATTTTGTCTAAAGAACTGAGGGAAGTGTACTGAGGAGATTCGCAACGTTTTGAGCAGAAATTTTGTAACATCTTGAAAAATTTATTGCAAAGGTGAGTAATCTTTTTATATACAGACATTTTAACATCTTTCTGATTTGTTGATAGATTTGGGTGTATTTTGTTTATGAAAAAAAAAGTCAAGGCACACCTTGAATAATACAGTTTGTTCCGAGGAATGTAAAATTTATATATGTCTAAACTATTTTAGGAATGTTTGGGGCAAGCATGTTGCAAGCAGCGAAGGAAGATTTTTTTCTTTACAAATACAGGCAATTTGGAAAGCTGCTAATGACTCGGCATCTTCTCCTGTTTTTGAAAGGTATGTTTATTACATTACATGCAGGAATTTTTTTAACTTTTCGAGTAGAATATTCCCGTAACATTCTACTTTTATCTCTTTTGTTTTCATACTTAGTAATAATGTTATGGTGCAGTTTTAGAAAAGTTATTACAATGCGATACTTGCAAAAGCGATTCTTTATGGCGTATCGTAGCTGCAAAATAAATTTATTATATTTTATATAAATATAGTGTGGGCAACAGTCAAAAAGGTAACGGTGTTACATCTCTCTTTTTTATCCACGTTACGAAATATCAGTAAGTGATAATGATTTATTTAATTGTTACATATAATGAACAAGAACCAAAGAAATTTATTTGCACTTTGTTGAAGAACCAAATCATTACGGTAAATGGTATGTTTTTCTAATATAAAAGTAAATATTTTGCTTTTTGAAGGAATTATCTTACACAAATATTTTGTTGAATCCAAAATATAATATAATATTGCAGTAAACTCGCTTAATTTTTTAAGTATATACAGGGTTTTTCAAACTCGACGTTCCAATGATGTTACAAGGTAACGAAAAATGTTATTGAAAATGGAGTATGGACTTCAAGCGGCATGTATTGAAGGACATTTTGCACCAAAAATTAAATTTTTAGATGATTTGAAAATTGTGTTGACGTCATGAAATACTTTTTTCCAGGAACATATCTATATTTTTTCATATTTAAAAAGAACATATTTTTCCGATAAACTTTTTTAAAAAATTTTTCTCCATCTATTTTCATTAAGAAGATCAGAAGTAAAAATAATAATTACAAACGATTTATAATAATTATTCCAGAATTTACTGCTTCGTTAATAGTAGGAGGCCATCGAAATCTTTCATACAAGGCTTGCTATGAGACTGTTAATGATGCAAGTTGCCAGAAGTCCTTAAAATAGTAATATCAAATGCATATTTAAATACTAAACATGTCTTTAATTAATCACACAGAAAACAAAAACAATAAAAGTAGAACAAAAAACAAGAATTATTTTATATGTATAACCAACATTTTAAAAATTATAACATATTTTCTATATGTCCAGCCCCTGTTGCTAAAAATAAATCTAACCGATGCCCAACTTTTATAATTATGTTCCTCAGCGTATCAGGGGTAGGGGTGAGTGGGGGAATGGTGGTCACTTAAACGAGTTGGTCTATAACTTTTAAAATGTTATTTATTTATCACATCTAAATAGTTTTACACTGAAGTTATTATAGTTAATTTATTTGATTGCTATAAATATTTAAAAAAAATTAAAAGCAACCGAGTAATTTTATTTTTAGCAACATTATGACATTGACCAGTATTCCTAAATGGCAATATTCTATTGACATTTTTTTTTTTTTGTAAATAATACCAGCATTGCAAATAAAGGGTATATTATTCAACATAAAGCATTTTTATAAGAAAAAGATAAACTAAACATTGTAATAGTAACAAACGTAAAAAAAAGAAGAAAAATTTACATACCACTTTATTTTCCTCGTCGTCTTATTTTTTCACAGGATTGTCCCACCCACCACAAATTCTACGCAAGTAAAACAGTTCTTGATTTTCGTTTTCAATATCGTCCATTTCATCATCTTGGTATAAGTTCCTTTCGTCTATATCATCATCTTCCGAGTTACTATCTAGTACTTTCTTCAAGTTTCTCTTAAATGCTTCTTTGCACTTTCCCGTTTTTACCACTCCCTTTTTTTGTATTTTTTCCAGCTTTTTCTGTTCTCTTTGCAGCCTGCTCTTCTAATTGTTGTTTCATGGGGTCTCAGTTAATACCTTTGAGTGTTGTTTAACTCGCTTACATGATTTTTTATTTGGACTAGTAGATGGAATTGACAATAAATCGTAAAAATATACTGTGGGTATTCCATTTCTTATAATATTTTGAGGGACGCTGCGTATTAGAAAAGTTTGAAATATCGTCTGAAGATAATGGTGGTCGTTTTGGTAAAACAACGTTTTCATTTTCTGAAGCAGCTGGGATCATTAAATTGTTTCATATGCCAATAAATCCAGAGCTACAGTAAAGGCTATCGCACCTAATATTTTAGATTTACTACTTAATACTTGGTAACTTTCAATTTTACTGTTTTGATGAAATATCTTTTTTGTACTCGGCCCTGCTTCATCCATAACTTGAAGACTTTTAGATGCTTCTTCTGAAGCATGAACAATATATTGTTATTCAAAAGTCGACTGATTTTCTTTGTCACTTCAGTTCGATTTGATCAGCCATCTGATATTTTAAATTGAGTTTTTCTATGGATCGATTCAAAAATACAAATCAATTTGAATCGATATATCGATTTATTGCACAGGATTAATAGATTTTTTGACAAATCGAAAATCGATGGTAGCAAGACTTTGAGAAATCCCTTATTTGGGTGAGCCATAGGGTAGGCCAGTGGAGTTGTGAGAACTGAGATCTGAAAAGTACAAATTCTTGGTTTCATATAAGGACTTCTTGAAGGAAAACTCAAATATTAGTACTAAACTTTTTATAAATGAGATAAACATCAGTTTAATAAACTTTAATACTGAAACAAGCAAAAAACTATTTTAAAAAATAACGTGCTATGCAAAATGTATACTTTCTAAGTAATTCTGGCCTTCTTCATCCAGGATTTCCTTAGCTTCCTCGTTTATGATATACAGGGTTGTGATTTAATAACGGATAAAATCAATAAAAGAGTGTGTAATTTTTTTTAGGAAAAATCCTCGGACACGTCGATTTTGTTTTTAGATTGCGCATATTTTGACATAAAATGTAGATGTACAGGGTGCCTCAAAAAAGCGTGGCAGAAATTTTATTTTTTTTTTCTTAAAGGGAACCCCCTATATATTTTTGCATTTTCGGATTTTCCGAAAAATTCTGGACATGTTTTGTGCATAATGTCCTACACCTATCTTCAACTGTTTTATATTTATATTTACGTTTAAGTAATAACACTTTGTATGAGAATTACCCAATTCTTTGGGAGTAATAATCTCAATGGTAGATTCAACAAAATAAAATAAAATGAAAAGCGTAGGTGACACAGACTTACTTGATGGTTTTCTGAAGGATAGAGAACGAACAGGTCTCTTGGATAAGTCTATGCACTTAAATGTAATAAAGCGTGGATATAGAAAATAATTATTAATTTTATAGCTGAAAGCGCGCACTGCTCTTCAGTCAACTTTTGCGGATATATTCTCTAGAGCCGAGAGTCGGCGTTGTCCGTGTCACTTATAAAAAAGCGCAAGAAAAAAAAACAAGATAAAAATAAAAATCATATTTTTAGGTGAGTGGGTAGGCAACCTAATTAACATTTTTATTCGAACAGACTTAATTTTTTAAAAACAAAATATTTACAAAACGCACTTTATTGTAAATAAATAGATGTACATTCTGGAAGTTTATTTTATTAAATGCTGGAAGTGGCCTCCATTAACAGCTCTGCAGTACCCCAAACGATAGATAAATTCTTGCTGTACATTTTCAACAGTTTCTGGAGAAATATTCCTAATTACATTATGAATACGATCTTTCAGGATATCAAGCGTGCGTGGCTTATCTTTGTACACTTCATTTTTGATATAACCCCAAAGAAAGTAGTCCAGTGGATTAAGGTCGGGTGATCTAGGTGGCCACTCTATTGATCCACGTCTGCCTATCCACCGGTTTGGGAAAACATCATCTAGGAATCTTCTAACAATCGCAGCATAATGGGGCGGTGCCCCGTCCCGTTGAAACCATAACGCTTGGTTTGGCATGTCTGGCATATTTTCATCAGGATACAGTGTCGCCAGTGCTGGAATCAAGTCGTTTACTAAAAAGTCATGATAACGTTCTCCCGTCAAAGATCCTTCAAAGAAGTATTATTATTACTATTACTCTGTTATTAATAATCCCTGCCCATACATTCACCATTTCATTATACTGAGAATGACTTTCCGTAAACCAGTGTGGTTTTGCTGGTGCCCTAAAATTTTGCCTATTTACTTCTCCATTCAAACAGAACGTTGCCTCATCTGAAAAGCATATCTGTTTTACTAGTCTAGGGTTATTATCAGCTCTTTCGGTCATGGTCTGGCAAAACTCGTTTCTGCGATCTGGATCATCTTCGAGTAGCTCTTGAAGTAATTGAATTTTATAAGGGTGCCACTTTTCCTTCTTTAAAAATTTTGTTACAGTCGATCTATGAACTGTATTATCTAAAGCGAGCTGAGTACTTGAGAGGTTAGGATTTTCGTTTCATGAAACCAGGATATCCAGTTTTTTGTCATTAGGAACGCCGGGCCTACCAGGTTTGCCAAGATCCTTAACAGTTCCAGTCTCTCTCCACTTAGCCTCAATTCTACTGATTGTAGACTGACTTACAGGTTCTCTGTTCGGATATTTATTGTTGAACATTATTCGAACTTCGTTGTGTGTTCTAGTTTTCTAACCACAGCCAAGCATAATTAATATTTCAATTCTCCGAGTCTCAGTTAAACGCATTGTAAATTTCAATTAACAATACAGTTCAAACTTTTAAGTAATTGACACAATGTGAAGACTAATGTCAAATATTCACAAACAGTGTAAATATTTCGTGAACAGTTGAAGATAGGTATAGAATATTATACACAAAACATGTCCAGAATTTTTCGGAAAATCCGAAAATGCAAAAATATATAGGGGGTTCCATTTAAGAAAAAAAAATAATTTCTGCCACGCTTTTTTGAGGCACCCTGTATATCTACATTTTATGTCAAAATATGCGCAATCTAAAAACATAATTGACGTGTCCGAGGATTTTTCCTAAAAAAAATTACACACTATTTTATTGAATTTATCCGTTATTAAATCACAACCCTGTATATAAAACTCCCTATTTTTTTCTTCAATGTGCTTCACTAGATTTTTCACAGTTTTGACTGTAGCCACTTTTATTCTGAGATATTTCTGGTAAACATCAAAAGCAATAATCTGTAACAAGTACAGAGGCAATTCGTTGCAAGTTTTTAGACGGAAGTCTGTTGATGACTTTTTTTGTGACGTGTGGTAGCAAAATGCACATTTATTATTTTTGTTCAAGTCAGTTTCACCAAGAATGAAATTAGAACCCGTCCCATACATGGCACGCTAGTACTATAGGATATCGAAAGAAACCAACCTCAAAATTTTTATACATGCGAATTGTGACAAAATTAGTTTGTGTTGTGGAAATAAAAAAAAACAATCTATACATAGGCCAACATTACATTTTTTACACTGCGTTCTCACAGCGATGGCTATGGTATGATTCCCAGCACACCATCTTCATCTCTTATTTGGAACATATTCAATGAAATGATCGGTTCTATCATGCCGGATATCACATGCCACCTCTGAATATGAAAAAGGTTGTCCAGATGATTTGAGTAGATTTTGAAACTTTTTTAGGTATATTTGAACTGTTTCTCTTCTAAATGAAAATGCCAATTGTGATATTTCAGGATGTAAACTTTTATATACTATCGAAGCGTTCTGAACACGTATATCTACAAGCCATGTAAAAATTGGCCGTCACCATTTCTCTCCTATAATGCCAATTCTGTTAACGTTAAGATTGGCATCCATTTGGTCGGTACCACCCATTTGGTTATGCAATTGGGTAGCGGAATTGAAATTTTTTTTTTTCGGTTACAGAATAGCGGCTAGCATTTGCAAGAGGATAAACTCCATGAACTGTGGCTGCTACAGTGACCACAGAATTGTCCATCCAACGTGTGACAACTACCTTTTTATCTGTTGTGGTAGCATACTCGAACGTACCACGTTTATTTTTTTTATATAGACTTGACTGATTGAATGGGACAATTTTTGGGCAACCGGTTTTATCGAACTGTTCCAGTTCCTTGGTATGCTTTACTTTTTAAAAAAATATAATGAATTGAAGTAAAAAGGTTATCCAAGTAAAATTGAAAAGGTTATGATATTGCCTGGAAAACTTTCCACTAGCTTAAGCCAAGGTGCAGCTGCTTGTTCCTCTTCCTTCTGGCTTGCTGTTTAGCTTGCTCCAACTTCGCATACTGCAATCTTCTTTCGAAGAGAGTACAATATGATCCCGTGCCTGTCCATAATAAGTCCATTATGTTGACTGATGGTATTTCAGACGTTTGCACATGTATTTCGGTTGGTACCTTTGCAACGTCACTGAGACGTGCACTGCTTTCGCATTGGCAATTCATAAAGAATTTTTTCCATAAAATGGCGCCCAAAATATCAGTCATGGTCTCATCGTAATCAATTTCTTTATGCAGTATGTAATTCTCAAGAATATTTTTATTTTGTTTATTAGGGATCGCAATTTGGTCATTTTATCGACTGGTTCAAGCTTTGAATTATCTGCACAATGCAAAAATTTCATAATTTGGATAAATAGGTCTCGTCTCGTTGTAAACTGTAGTGTTTGTCAAAATTTCACCCAAGTAGCTTTTTTCTAAGGCTTATTACCATAACCGGAATAATTAAAATTGCTAAAAATCACTTTATTTCTTCAAATGAAGTTTTTGGATCTGGACAATTTATAAAAAGAGCATGTCGATTATGAAAAATGTGTGCACACAAACTAATTATGGCAAAAAGCAAAAAGTATGGTATTACGTTGTATAGCGGCACTAGTAAGAAGTGTTGAAGTGTTAAAGAGCAAGACTCATATTTCACTCTTCATGGATGTATGTGTATTAGTCGCAGGTCTATATCGCGCAAGTGAAACAAAAAATTCTATCAAAAAACGAACAGAAAAGCAAATTATTTTGAATGCAATTATTTATCAATTATACTTACTAAACTAAGGCTAAAATTAATTATATTAAATGAGTAAGTTAACAAATACTGAACAGATTACTTTCCCCCACCAATACTTTTATGATTTCATCATTGACAAAAAGCTCAAAAACTTCAAGAGCTGACATGCTTCTATATTTTGAAAAATTTGTTTCAGGAAATACTTGAGGAATGCATCACGGTGAATCATCGTCCCTAGCCAAGTGAAGGTAGTTGGTCTAAAGCTTACAAACGTACTGAGAGGAAGATCGTCTTCAGAATCAAAGTGATCATTATGAATTTTATTTAAGGTAATGTGGGATAAGTGCACCCCTTTGTTTGTTTAGTTGAATTTCAAAATAAGAAAATTTCAAGTTCGACATTTTCATTGTTATGAATGTTTCTATACACCTGTGCTTTGCGCATACGAATCTCAAATTGAATGCTTCTTTAAAAATGCAAATATCTCTATTTGGGACATGGTAATACTTTTACAAAGTCATTTTCCGTAAATTCAGCTACATCATCAACAGTTGGGAGGTGGAACACTGATATTCCTTTATGAAAGGCACTTTTTCTCGCAAATTTAACTTGTAGTATAGGGTCAACTTCAATAATTTGTCTAACATAACGTTTGATCACTGTCTTTATGGGAAATTTGTAGCGTTGTTCCAAGCACTGAAGCTTTCGTATCGACAGAGCCGGTCAAAACGTAATGTTTTAGTAACGAAAGGTGGNCATTTTATCGGCTGGGTCAAGCTGGGTCAATTGAGGGGCCTGGAAGTAAAACTGTGCAAACCCCTTGACGCAACACTTTCGTCCCATACAAACATGTGACTCTTCCCTGACAGTAAATCATAAACACAAAAGTTATAGGTCCATAGTTGACGAAGGTAAAATACTTTAGAAGTGGTTAATAGAGGAGTTGGCAGAGCCTGTTGTAAATCGAAGCAAATAACGACCACGCTTTCATCATTTTTATTCACATCAATATCATCTTTCTTGGCATCTGTAGCCTTCTTGGCTTTTCTTTGGTGCAACTCCAAGTCGTGCTTGGCAGTGTTTACTATGTTTTCATCTTTAGAGTGTCTTATTAGATTTTGCAAGTTATCACAGCGGCTGCATGTATCACTATAGGGCTTATGAAATCTCAAGTTGAATTCCGTATTGAAAATGAACCTGTAGTAGGATTCTTTCACGGGTACTTCTTGTTTTTCAATGCAAAATTCTTTATAGAGTTCATACATTTTTTTAATACTTAGTTCACCTGAGAGATATTTTGTATTTGGGTTGTCTTTTCTTGAATAATGGCTACGATATTTTGGGAACATATTTATATGGGCTATAACAAAATTTCTTGATGATTCCTTAATTTTATTTGGAGGTTCCTTTTTACCTCGCTTATCAGGTTCAATCATACCATTTGTCGTTTTTTTACATACTACTTGAAATCGTCGCACAGAAATCTCAAAGGGTATGCAAAAAAAATTGCTTACATACACGCTTTCCCAATAGTGTGATTTCTGTACTGTATCCCTTACTAGAAGAAGCGGTGGCTTTACGTCTATTAGGTTCAGTTTTTTTTATACAAGACAGAAATGAAGTTTGTAGGTCATACGACGGAAGTTGATAAAATTTCGTGAATAACTTACGTTTGTTAAATTAAATTAAATTCTTTCAGTTCTCTTGCTTTTTGCAGTTTATTTTTCCTCTGTTTGTTCGTTCTGTTCGTAGTCTTTTAGCAGTAGTGTCCTTCCACTCATTTGGACGTCGTTTATCTTGCCTTGTTTTAGCTGGAGTTATATGTTTATTGTTTTCTACTCGTTCCTGTGTATCGGGAACATAATCAGAATCCTCGTCAGTCTGGTAAGGCTCCGAGACTTCTACATAAACAGAAAGCAAACATCTTATGTAATAACCTAGCCATACTTTCTGAATATAAATCAAGATAAACACATGCTAAGAAATTGACATAACCTAACATACCCTCTTAATGTAAAGCAAGAAAAGTAAATGCTAAGAAATTTAAAGTTTACTTACCATCACTTTCTGGATCAGTATCATTATCCATTTTATGACTTACGAAATGTGCTGATAATCCTTTCAATAATTTTTTCTAAACATAATTAAAATAAGATTGATCTTTGCAATTTACAACTTGCAAACAAAGCACACCAAGTAATAACTTCAAATCTGAAAACGGGAACTGTCCACTTGAACCGTTTTACCACAGACGGAAACTGTAAAAACGTTCTAGTGGTAAAGAGATTCAAGTCCACTTGAACCGTTTTACCACAGACGAAAACTACAAATATTTTCATTTGTTCATCAGGATCATGGAAGATGGCCCCAGGGGTCGCGAAATTCACTTGAATCTATTTACCTCCAAGTAGAGATACCTTTTAGGAGTGGCATACTGCACTTGGTTAATTTTTTAGAAAAAGTGCACTTGAACCGTTTTACTTCCAGGCCCCTCAATTATCTGCACAATGCAAAAATTTCATAATTTGGATAAATAGGTCTCGTCTCGTTGTAAACTGTAGTGTTTGTCAAAATTTCACCCAAGTAGCTTTTTTCTAAGGCTTATTACCATAACCGGAATAATTAAAATTGCTAAAAATCACTTTATTTCTTCAAATGAAGTTTTTGGATCTGGACAATTTATAAAAAGAGCATGTCGATTATGAAAAATGTGTGCACACAAACTAATTATGGCAAAAAGCAAAAAGTATGGTATTACGTTGTATAGCGGCACTAGTAAGAAGTGTTGAAGTGTTAAAGAGCAAGACTCATATTTCACTCTTCATGGATGTATGTGTATTAGTCGCAGGTCTATATCGCGCAAGTGAAACAAAAAATTCTATCAAAAAACGAACAGAAAAGCAAATTATTTTGAATGCAATTATTTATCAATTATACTTACTAAACTAAGGCTAAAATTAATTATATTAAATGAGTAAGTTAACAAATACTGAACAGATTACTTTCCCCCACCAATACTTTTATGATTTCATCATTGACAAAAAGCTCAAAAACTTCAAGAGCTGACATGCTTCTATATTTTGAAAAATTTGTTTCAGGAAATACTTGAGGAATGCATCACGGTGAATCATCGTCCCTAGCCAAGTGAAGGTAGTTGGTCTAAAGCTTACAAACGTACTGAGAGGAAGATCGTCTTCAGAATCAAAGTGATCATTATGAATTTTATTTAAGGTAATGTGGGATAAGTGCACCCCTTTGTTTGTTTAGTTGAATTTCAAAATAAGAAAATTTCAAGTTCGACATTTTCATTGTTATGAATGTTTCTATACACCTGTGCTTTGCGCATACGAATCTCAAATTGAATGCTTCTTTAAAAATGCAAATATCTCTATTTGGGACATGGTAATACTTTTACAAAGTCATTTTCCGTAAATTCAGCTACATCATCAACAGTTGGGAGGTGGAACACTGATATTCCTTTATGAAAGGCACTTTTTCTCGCAAATTTAACTTGTAGTATAGGGTCAACTTCAATAATTTGTCTAACATAACGTTTGATCACTGTCTTTATGGGAAATTTGTAGCGTTGTTCCAAGCACTGAAGCTTTCGTATCGACAGAGCCGGTCAAAACGTAATGTTTTAGTAACGAAAGGTGGAAAANCTTTTTCTTATTATCCCGCTATTATTAAAAATAAAAAACACTGATCAAAATATTAATTATAAAATTAAAAAAACAAAAATAAAACATTTTTTTAAATTTAAAATGTAATTTCTTCATTGCACTCAACGTTGCTCCATGTCCACCATCAGCTTAATGTAAATTGCGGCTCATTAGAGAAGTAGTAGGTTGAAACTCATAACATTTTTTTCCATCCAGTAAAAATTTTGTGTGTAACCAAGAAGGGGAAATGGCAAATTGTGCTCCGCAAGAAACATGACCATTTTTATTTCACCTTCCTTTATTCCACGTTTTAGTTTTTTTTCCTTCTGGATTTGTGGTTACAAAATTGAAATTTTGCAGGAAGAACCCACTACTTGCATTTTTGCAATGTGTTTGACACTATTTGCATGTCTATTGACATGAGTATAATTCCTCCGGTAATAATTTTTTTGCTGGCTTTGCAAAATGTTTGCCCCGTGTCTTGTTTTTCTTAATAACCAAGCTACGTTTTCTTTGGTAATCCACGAATCCTTAAAAATTTGGGTGAATTTCTTTCTTTTTAATTTTCGTCTCTTGCGCTTTCATTACTATCACTATCAAATTCTTCACTGTCACATGTGTCATCATTAACATCAACTTTTTGCTTATTTTCTTTATTGTTTCCGTCACTAGGAGGTACAGAGGGATTAATACGAACCACAAATCCTAAAAAAAAATAAGAATCTTACAATTAGTTATAACGACGAATCTGCATTCCAATTGTATATTTTTTAATATTAATTTATCCACTTACCTATCCAATGACATCCTTCTTAAATTGATACAATGACGATGATTGCGAGTTGCGATGCATAAATTAAAGAAACATATTGGGCTGCATGCATTAGAATTTAAATTTATATGACAGTTGGACAATGGATAATGGACACTTTACAGTTTATGGAGTTCGACCACAGAACTACACATGCATAGATCACAGAACCGCAGAACACATTATACAGAAAGTTTCATTTGTTATTTTCATGACGGGTTGACAACAAAATTCATATTCCCTAGCATCACTGCACTGTCTGTGCTGAGTCGGACAGCTTGAGTTAGTTCTACTCTTTTTCAGGGAGGTTCTTTTCTTGGAAAGAAAAGAGAGACAAACAGATTTATCGTACACTAATGCTACTTTTTTTTATTGTACACCAATAATTAATACAAACGAAATCAAAAAAAGAACTTTTGTTCAAACTATAGTCGAAAACCGCTTCACAAACACTACAATACTCTTCGATGCCCATCAGCAGAATAAAGTAACTACTCACTTTTTTGTGTGTTTCTTATCCGCAACTTCCCAAAAATACAATAGTGGGCCTGGATACTAGTTAAACAAACTCTTCTTCAGCTCCTCTCACTTACAGATAGCGGGCTAGCAATCCCGTATCTCCTCCACGGTACTCATAAAACTTTGGACTTTGGGGTTGACTGCCCTATGCTATCCAACAGCCCCCTATCCCAAAACCTTTATGCTGTGCTTCCCAATCTTCTCTCCGATCTACCGAAATCGCACCCGTTTTCGCCAGGTAAAGCTGGAAATTTACGTCCGCTCTAGTCGGACAACCACATATCGCTCCTCCCGCATTCCCGACATTTTCCGCCTCGCCCTTTCCACACACTTACTTGACCCCACTTCCCTATTTGCAGCCCCACCACCACTGCCGCAACACACACAACATCTCAGTTCTCTTAGGTCTAATGCTTAAAACTAACGACAAGAATAAAAAGGGTGGTTCAAATAACGGGATCTAGCCCATGTCACAGGCGCAGATCGTACTACAACATCGAAAAAGTATAAATAATTTTAATTTGAATTACGCCTAACAAAAATGTAATTAAATAGGGTACAATACAATTTGCTGTAACGACGTAATAAGAATAACCAAAATGTAATGAAATCACTACACATGTAATGATTGGAACAATGCTGGAAACTTGACCAAAAGGCAGTCACC